TACATGTCACCCAGATGGCCAAAACTATTTATCTGCAATGACACTGGACACTTAAGGTTTAAGTCACACAGGGTGCTATTATCCCCTAGAGCATAACCAAGTTGTCTGGGAAAAGCACTGAATGATTCTGAACTTGTCTTATGCACTGAGGTTGGTTTAAGAAAGTACATCTTTGAGGGGAAAGTAGATAGTTTTTCTGGTTGAACTGTTGGGGAAGGAGTATCTGGAAAAAGCTCTTGCTAAAATGTTGAGAGCTTTTTAACCCAGTAGCAGTGGTGTCTGTGTCAGGTGAGACTTACAGCAGAACAAATTACAGAATATGTACTCAACCTGAAACAGTACAAAAGAGAACAGCATTCAAAAATGGAGTAAAAAATAAAATTTATGGCTGAGATAAGAGTAAGGAATTTCCAGAAGTAAATAACCCTGCCTGGTCTTAAGGAATGAAAAATTTGCCTTGGACCAGGCAGGGGTATTGACGTTTTTACTGTTGAAGGTAATAGTAAGGAAGAACTGAACCCTATAATGATGGCTGCATACAAAGGAGAAAAGCAAACGTAATACGCCATACTACTTAAGATTCTCCTTCCCCCTGGAGATCAAATAACAAGACCTCATACAGATGCGTTACTTGAACACATAATTCACAAATCTGGAGGAAAAGAGAAAACCCTATGCTATTTAGAAAAGCAGAGAGAATTATAAACAGCATGAATATCAACACTGTCTGTAATGAGGTCTACAAACACTTGATTGCACATTCAATTGGCTACCTATTAGAACCTAACTGGTATTCAATATATGTTTTAAGTGAATTTATTCTAAATTCTGTAAAAACAGAATGTTTCCAAAACATTTATCATTCTGAAAAACTGAAACATCATTCAATAAATAGGAAGCCAATGCTTATATGCCAGGCACTGAGCAAATATGAAAGAAGGTCCCTCATGCTTTTGCAAAGGATGCACTGATGACAAGTTTCCCAGGACAGACTTCCCCTGAGAAAAATGTATTAGAGTACACTCTAATGTAGTACTCGCTTTGGTTTAGGAATACCATGCTTTAGTAATCTTTAATAATTCACTTGGGAGGTTATCAGTGAGTAGCCCTTAGGCATATTTAAGTATGAACAACTATGAAGCAATAGGAATTGAAAAAGGAGCTGCAACTCCCATGTGGAGGGGTGTGGTAGGAGCCATACTTTGAGAATCACTGTATTAAGGGAACACAGGAGAGAAAACTTAATTCTTCAGGGGGTGGAAGGGGTAAGAAAAATGAACACTGAGACATTAAACTATAAGGTAATAATAAACTTGCTGTACAATGGCATTCCAAACCTTCCATTTGGATGCGTATGTATAGTGCCCATGAAATTATGCTGGAAACTATAATTTCAAGTAGTAAGAAAATTACACGCAGGACTCTTTTCTTAACAAATTTAAGGAATGCATCAATTCTTTGCTACTTCAAATGCATTGTTTTCAAAAGCTCAGAAAGGGAGGAAGGGGAGTATTCTCTAAGAACCCAGCACTATTTATAAAATCATTTTACCTCATTTAGCACTGTATATACCACACAGTTACTATGCTTTTACATATTTAACCAGCAAGCATTCTCTTTTGGAATGGACACTGAGAGTAAAAATAATAAACATTACCTTTTTCTAATCATAAAGTTTGGCAAGAAAACTATTTCAAAATCTGACTTACTGAATAAACCGAAGGGAACATAGTCATTCTTTTGTACTCCTTTAAGTTGTAAATGTCTCCTCCCAAAGTTGTAAATGGTCCTTCTTGGTTGTGGTCCAAGTTTTGGCATTTACTACTTCCTAGCTATTCTGTTTTCAATTTTCTAATTTACCAGGAAAAAAAAACCCATCCTAATTCAGTGGTAAATACCTTGAAAATGCCAAATATCTGAAGAAAAAGCTAAACTGATAGTCACGATCACATCCTACTTTACAAAGAATCCCATCACAAAACAGATTTAAAAACCAGATTTTAAAATCACAAATTTAAAGTATTGTGATTGTGATTACCATCCTCAAGATTCCTAATATTTTCTCAAACTATATAGATTATTAGAGTATCAAAGAGAGTTGTGTTTTAAAGGATGCAAAATGACTTCTCACTTTATTATAAAAAATTGACTCGTCATTAGGGAATGTATAGGCAATTCTTGACAGACTGAATTAAGCTCACAAGTTGAGTGAGACACTGTTGTAAATACACTTCAAGAACACAACTTCTTTTTGTTCTCTTACTGAAACATGCTTCAGTTGTTTTTCCCTATTCACTACAGAATAACATACTATTAAACAAAATGCTAAGTTTTTATTTCCCTTGAATCTTGGCCAGTTTACTAAGTGAAAAGTCATTTTGTTGACAAAGCAGAAAAAGTCCACAGTGTATATTAGAACACTTCCTATAATCAGTAACTTTAAAATAATCATGGAGTACAAAAATGTGAAAACAGCGAAGAGCAGGGCACAGAAAGACATTAAGCAGTGGGCCTGGACATGTATCTGGGGAAATCAGAAAGCTCATAAAATAACCAGTGATTTTCTTTAAAAGATCCACAGAATATAAGAACAGAAAAACAGGAAATACAAGTTAGCTTAAAAAAAAAACAAACTTCAAAATCACAAATTACTCAATATTTGGAAAAGCAGCTGTAGAAATGCCATTAAACAAAACATTAGGCAAATGTCATACATGAACACAAGTGTCATAACTTCATAAAGGGAGCTACAAAGCAAGGTAACATCCCAGGAAATGCAAACTCTACTCTGGTGAGAAACAAAGAAAACCACTGTGGAAGAGAAATTCAAAAGCAATTGCTAATGTGCCCCATAACCTACAGTGCAGGGCTACTACAGGAAGGCATCATGGAGAACCAAAGGAAATCTCATTTGCAAATTTACAACTCAGGGATGAAGTATGATTATTTACTACCTGTAGACATCCAAAAGCCATGAAAAAATGGAATTACACTCACATACATACATGGAAAAAGGGGAGGTGGTTTACATTATTGAGATCAAATTACTTGGAGGATCATTTCAGCTGCCAGGGAAAAACCTTCCTGAAGGAAAAAATTATATTATACAGCTACCTCTTGCCAGCAACATCGTAAGTTCAAAATAAATTAAAACTCCGGGAGCAAAACCTGGAAATCCCTCCATCCCCACTTAAGCAGGGGTTGAAACCACGGGTTTAGATTATATGACCTTAAAAGCTGTGAACCTTGACGCTTTCGGTACAATATGGCTCCCAGCAGCCCACAGGTGATCAACAACTATTAATGTTAATCACTTATATCTACATACAGTTTTACAAGTTCCTTTAACTTTTATTTCTCAACAGCAACTCCTTTGGTGGTAGAATCACAGAACTTTACGTTCGCAGCTTGTAATTTGTGAAGGACTTTCACACGCTACGTTATTTTGCGGAAGAAGACCCAAGGAGGAAAAGTCGCTCGTCTAAGGATGAGTAGATGGCAGGTGAAGGGCCAGAACAACTGCGGGACTCTGCGCAGTCAATAGACACTGCCAATCCTTAAAAGTGCAAAATACAACACTCCAGGGGGGGCAACGTAATTCAGACAGTTACACAGGATCTAACTGCCGTCTTAGTAGACCATCTCTGCCTTGTCTCCCTTCCCGAAAACAAGGAAACTGAGGCAGCAAACGACAAAAGCCCGATTTAGAGTCAAGCAAGGAGTGCTGGTGGGATGGACTTCCCCCACCCGACCTGCTCTGAACCTAGAAGGTGAATCCTGTATTTGACACACAGGTTGGTCTCCAGAGAGAGAAAAACCCTTGCCATTTCCGCTTCCCTCTAACTATTCTCCACCCAGGTTTTCTATGGATGGGGACCTCTTCTCAGACCCACACAGCAATCCCTAAGGCCCTTACCCATTTCTCACACCGGGCCTCCGGAGTAGGAGAATTCACTAGCTCTGGCTCCCAACTCCTAGCTCATCTCTCTGAGGCATCTCTTGACCCCAAGGCATTTCTGTGTCTCCCTGGGGATCGTCTGCCTCTCACCGTGCCACCTAAATCTCAAACCCTACAAAAAAAACCTCCCAAAACGTCCTCCTATTACCTCTTCCGTCCTGAGCACCCCTGAGAACCCCTAAATATCAGGAGCTTCCCAGGTGCTACCTGCCTCTCACCTGGACCGTTTAGCCTCGGCCTCAGAAGAGCGACCCCCAACAACCTCCTCCCGTCAAGAACATCCTAGAGGGGGAACAACCTCTTCGAGGAACCTCTTCAGGCACCTTAGCGCGGGCCTCGGCGGGGAACCTTCGGGCTGTTTCCTGGGTTCTGCCCAACGCCACCCCCTCCCTAGCCCCTTCTCGGAGTCTCTCCCGGCCCCAGTCCGGTCCACCCGCCGCACACTCCGGGGGCTGCTCCCTTCCCCTCACGGACGTCCCCAGCCCTCGTACTGCCCCCAGCTCCGCGTCCCCAAGGGCTTCCCAGAGCAGCACGGCTGGGCTGCGGCACTGACTTTCTCCAGCTCCCAGGCCCACCGACTGATGGGACGGCGCGGCGGCGCGACTCCTTTGTGACAGGTCCGAGAGAGCGGTAAAGATGGACGCGAGGCCACGGCGCTGCCATTACGCGCTGGGCCCACCCCCGCTTCGTACCGCCCAGGCCCATCCTCAATTCCCGAGGGAACGCCCCTTCCTCGGTGGAGATCCTTCTTCCTGAAAACCAATCAGTCTTAGGGATGATGTCACGTGATCAACCGGCCCGGCCCGCCTTTCAGGAGAGAGTTGGCCAATCCCCTTGCTGAGGTGTGAATGGCCCAATCAAATCTCTCCTGCTAGCTTTCTGGGCACCGGATTTTCATCTGTCTCCTGGGGAGGAAGAGAAGTGAGGATTGGCGTAAGCCGCCGGAAGCGGGGCGGAATTTTGTTGTGGATGTGAGGAACGGGAAGCCCTGAAGGGTCAAAAGGAATACAAAAGCAAAGACTATTTTCTTCTCTCTTTATTTCTTTTTTTTCCTAAAGAGCAAGCGCCCTTTGTGGTGGCAGTTTGGGGTAGTCGCCGTCGAGGTGAGGGAGTCTCGCCTCCCGCTCGCCGGTAGGTGAGTGCGGCCTGGGCCTTGGCCAGGCAGCGAGATGTGGGCTCCAGCTTCTTCGCTGAGGAGTTGGGGGAGCTGTGGGGTATGACCTCTGGGGCCGGGTTTGTTCTCAGTCTGCGCACCTGCCCAGTGGTCTGTGTCACCGGGGCCAAGGGCTTGCGGGCCCAGCTTGAGGAGAGCCGAGGGACCCCGGGGAAAGCCTCCGGGTCAGTGTGGAAGAAGATCCCGACCCTTTCAAGCGATGCTGCGACTTAACGGCCACTTGCTGGCTCCGCTCCGCCTTTTCTTATAAGCTCAACGTGAGGAGCGGTCTCTATTTCACAGGTCTTAGATTGGCTCCAGGCTACCCAGATGTAGGAGTGCTTGATTGGAAATGGCTGAATTAGACAATGGAAATGTAGGATGGGAAACACATTTAATATGTAGCACGGACCGGCTGCTATGCTCAGTGCATTTTTCTCCTAATAAATAACAAATCAACGTGCTCGTTTTGCAGAAAACTTAAGAAAGTAGGGCCGAAAGTTGAAGTATCTAGTTTGAAAGTTTGTGGCCCATGTGAATTTAAGTGCGCACGCGGGGAAAGGGGGACACCTGTTAGTTCAGTGCAGTGGATCTTTAGTAGAAAACAGGATCTTTTGCGGCCCTTTTGAAATGAAGATTCTCGGATCCCACCCCCAGATAGTCTAAGTAGGTTTGGAGCGGGACCCAGGAAGTTAAGTGCGGGCCATATGGTAAGGATTCCCAAAGACCTCTTGTGTGCCTGATGGGAGGTGAGATGTGTTGATTCTTGAGCTGTTTGGTTTGTTGATGTGTTAACAGAGATCCCATAAAATGGCTTGGAGGCCACTGCTTCTGAAATCCTTGAAAGGAAACAGTATGTACAGTCCTTTTTAATACAAGGGATTGAGCTAATAAGGTAAGATAAAGGCAGCTTTTATAAAAGTCAAGTAGAGCTTGAGATGAGCTGTTAACAATTTGTAAGGTTCTGAAAACAGGATACACCATTTGCTTTTTTTTTTTTGGTATCATTAATCTACAATTAAATGAGCAAGCAACATTATGGTTACTAGACTCCCCCATCATCAAGTCCCCACCACAGACCCCATTACAGTCACTATCCTTCAGTGTAGTAAGATGCTATAGAATCACTGCTTGTCTTCTCTGTGTTGTACAGCCCTCCCCGTACCCCTTCTACATTATGTCTGCTAATCGTAATGCCCCTTTTTCACCCTTGTTCTTCCCTTCCCACCCATCCTCCCCAGTCCAATTAGCTTTCTTAACTGAAGTCTTGGCGCCTTAATCCCAAGGGGAAATTCCTCGTGGTTGTAAAAAAGGAAGAATTACTTCAAAATCATTTACCTAATTCGTGGTTTTCTTTTCCACCTTCTCAGAATCTTGATACTTGGTTAGAGTCAAGCTGTTGCTTCAGAAATTGAAAACCACATATATGGCAAATGAAGTAATTTAGTACATGGTTCAGCCACAGCTCAATCATAGTGTAATGTCTTTGTGGCAGCTGAATTAAGCAGTTTCAGTGTGCTGTTAATCACCTTTTGAACAGCTTTGTCTTCATTTTTAAATACAATCTGTTTCACTCTATAAGTTTTGATTTAAAGACTATTGTCTGTCTTTGGTTTCCTGCATTTTCATTATAATATATCAACTGTATTTGTTTTTCTTCATTTATTTGGTGTTTAATACACTTCTTGAATATGTGGATTAGTGTCTTTCATTTGTTCTGTAAAACTCTCAGCCGTTTTATATTCATATATTGCTTGTGCCCCATTGTTTTTCTTCCTTCTTTTTTAGGTACTTAACATAGACCTTTTCACTGTATTCTCTATGCCTCTTACCTCATTATGTTTCCATACTACACTCTGGATAATTTCTTCTTCATCAGTTCTCTCTCATTTCTAATCTGTTATTAAATTTATCCATTGAAATCTTAAGTTTAGTTATTGCATTTTTAGTTCCAGAAGTTCTATCTGGTTCTTTTTCAAATGTGCCATGCTACTGTTCTACAGTTTCTTATTTTTTGTTATTAATTTTGAGGCTTGGTTTTTATTTCCTTAGCAAAGTAAGCATAGTTGCGTTATGACCTGGGTATGTTAATTCTTCTGTCTGAATTCCCTTTGGATCTGTTTCTGTTGTCTGTTATTCCCACTGTTGTTCTTCCCAGCTCACCTGGACCTTGATGGTATAGTTCTTTGGAGTACCAGATTAAGATGCATAAGGAAGTGATTATCAGACTGCACACCCTGCATGGGCTCCTGGCTTTGACTTTTTTCTCTTGCTTCACAAGGGTACCGGAAGAGCACCTTTCAGGAGGATTAGAGAATCCTCAGGATGAAAACCAGTTTGAATATTGGGCTTAATTTCCAGTTTTCACCTCTTCTTGGATTTTGACCACATCCTTTACTGTCTTGTTAGCTTTTCTATTTGTTTAAGAATTATTTTAAAATTTTCTTGTAGTTTTTGTATCAGAGAGGTAGAGGATTGGTCTCAATTACCTAGCCCAGTATTTCTGGACATGGAAATCCCCTTTCATTTTGATTGTGCAATGTGAAATTTGTGATTCCAGGCATTATTTTTCTTCATGTACCTAAAACCTCCACCACTTTTCACTGTGCATTGTCACAGCTGCTATCAAAATTAAGCTTTCCTGATGCTTTTTGTCTGGTTTTCCTTTTCTGAATTCCTTAGTGCTTAGCTTCTATTCTCTTATAGCATTTAACCTCATTCTACTTTCCCTTAAACTGATTATATGCCAGCCTTATCTCTTTTACTGAATGCAAGTTCCTCACTTGCTAAAAAGTGGAGTGCCTGTTTAGTACCTAGCACTTTGCCTTGCACATAGTAGCTCCCTGTAAAGATTTACTTCAGAAATACAACTGAATGAGTTAGTTGGCCTTGTATGGTTGATATGGTACAAAACCTTTTTTTAAAAATTTGATCTTAGGAGTTACATAAAGCCTAGCATGGCGGGGGTGGAGAGGAGTGTGATTCAGTGTGGGTTAGGTTCCAAAGCTAGCCCAGATGGCAAAATAGTGTATTAATCAAAGCTACCCTTGAAATTCTTTTCAGAGAGGAAACATGTTGAATGTAGGTCCTAGAAGCAAATTCTAACATGGCCAGGTTTTCCTCCAACTTTGAAACAGATGCTGTTTTTCTTCCTTTGAGCCCCAGATGAAATAGTTGGTTTGTCTGTGGAAGACTCAATGTGTAAAAGATACAACTAGTATTAGAATCATGCACTGAGGAAAAATACAGCTAGTATTAGAATCATGCATTGAGGCAAATGTTTTACTCTTAAGAGACACACACGAACTGGGGAACTGAGCATCAGCTAAGGGAACTGATATTTAAGTTAGTTCTCTCCTTTTTCTGCTGGAGCATATAGATGAATTCAAGGTAAATACACATATGATGAGACTATTCTTGTGCTATGGAAAAATAAATATATATACAGGGTTTTTCATTTAAACTTTTTATTGCATGTGTTTTTTAGATGCCCATAATAAACATTTTAAATATGAATTGCTTATGCTGTACCCTCGTTTTTAGATTCTTTTAGTCTCCTTTGCTACTGTAGTGTGTTAATAAACCTCAGTGTTAGAAGATTGACTGAGGCTCACTTTGTTTAGTAATAAATGCTGGATTCTGTGTTAGTAGTTATCATTCTTTAAAGTTTTATAATAGAGGGAAAGTCATCTTGATCTAATTACTGTAGCTTGACAGAAGAGCCTTCTGGCCAGAAAGCAATCTTTATTTGGAATATGGTTGAGTTTTCCAGAAGACAAATTCCTCTTGGTTGTTGTCCTGCATTTTGAAATCCCATTTAACTTGAACATCAGGATAAAAATGTTGTAAAAGCAGTGCTTAAATATATTTACTTAGAAAAGGAAAGTGGATTGGCCTATTGTTTTTGCTTCCCTACCAGAAACCTCAGAACGCTGTAACACAGAGATCTGATTTCCCCTGGTGTATTTTTATGCATGCAGTCATTCTAATGTTAGAATTAGGAGGCTATGGTGGTCAGGGATGTAAACATTTTAAATACTCTTGTCATCACAAAATTCAGTTCTGTAGGAAACCAGATCTCATTAATTTGTATCATGGCACTAGCTAAGTGGAATAATTTTTCAAGTCAGTGATAACAATTACTCTGGGAGCAGCAATGTAAGCTTTAAAACTTGTATAACATGCTATGTAAGACACAGCCTATTTTGTCCCACCGACCTGGAAACTAAATACCACAGTGTCCAGTGCAAACACAATAGCGTTTTGTTTAACAATTACTTTGACTTGAAATATAAGAACTTTGTTTTTTTGGCTGTCAAGTGAATTTGAAAACTGCATTCTCTATTTGTGTGTTTGAAACTTTCAAGTTTGGACAGAGTGATTTTGGTATGGTTTTGAAATATGGTTCCCTATTTGAAGAACTTAAGTATTCCTTTTTTAAATAATGTAGTGTTTAGTTTGATAATTAAACTTGAGTCACCTTGCAAACAAAGCTATGTGAGTGAAGGAAAGTTAACAACATTTATCCTTTCTATAATAAAACACAGTAAGGACAAAGAAGCTTTCCTAATGTAAATCTTCATTCGTACATGAATCTTTATAGTTAGACCCCCAGGTCCCTGGGCTTTTGTTTGTAGCTTGTTTCTGATTAATCTAGCAAACAAATGGGGAAAACAAGAGACTTGTGAGAATTTATCTAGGCAGTAGAAATTAGAAGTCAACACTTTAAATTTCTAATTTCTTTCTATGTGCAGAAAGAGGTAAATGAGTTGCAGGTACTTATTACCTCCCTGTTGCAGAATAACCAGCCAATGAATATTGGAGTCATCAAAGAAAAAAAGCTTTGTATGGCAAATACTACTCAGTATAAGAGAGCGTTTTTTTAGTCAGTTGAAATTCAAGTAGTAAGAGTTACTCTTGAAGAAGAAGACATCATGTATATAATAAAGTGATTTAGTTTTTGGTTTTGTGTTTCCTACTGCACAAATTATATGGTGTTTGAATACAAATTTCTGTGGGACATAGAAGTTTCACCAAATACTTATTTAATGTCTACCCTTCTCTATAACTTACACTGGACAATACCAAGGAATATTTGTGTGAGATCATTCCTCCCTACTTAAATTCTTCAAATCCGCTTCATAGTTGGTTTAGTATGTATTATATACCTAATATATGCCAGATTCTGCTGATAAGCATCGTGAATACAAAGAGCTGTTGGAACAGTGATAGATTTAAAAACACAATGGAGAAGTGCTCTCGTAGAGTTATAAATGGCTGTAGTAGGGGCTAGAGCAGAAACAGGGACACTAATGGAATGCTATTACAGTAGTCCATGAAGATGAGGCCCTGAAAAGAAGAAATTAGAAAGGAAAGGACTCTTTTCTTTAAAAAAACAAAAAGGAGGTTATTATGAGGTCAAAACAACAGACCTTGGTGACTAGGGGGACGTAGGGAGTTAGGAAAAAGAAGTCTAGGTATATGTCCAGGTTTTCAGCCTGGGAAACTGGATTGATCATATTCATGCCCTTCATTACTGCCTCCTACTGGTTCTATGCACTTTGGTAATTCATTATATACACTATTACCTGATATTAACTAGTTCAAGAGAACAAACTCTTGAAAATTTATTTCCTTTATGTACCCATAGAATTTGCACAGTGCAGGATACAGAGTTTGGCATTCAGCACAATGTTGAATTTGTTTAAACTGAACTGATAAAGTAAAACAGTAAAATAGAGAACCACATTGAAGGGAAAATGTGGAATTATGAAATTATGTATATATGTGCGTTTTTCCTGATTTCTCTCAGTTGAATGTGATATCCTTTCCACTTGGGTGTCATGATTGTTTATGTCACTGATTCATTCCTCCTTCACTTCCGGAGTGCAGACAGAATTTCTCTCCCTCCTGTAACCTGCCCAGAACTTAACATAGTCTTTGTAGTAATGGCAAACCTTTCAACACATTTTTCAGCATGTGCCAAACACTGCTGAGTGCTCTCACACAAGCTTTATGTTGTGCAGCACTGTTTTAATCCCCATTGGCCAGTGCAGTCTGTGGTTGAGGAAACCAGAGCTCCAAGGAATTATGTGACTTGCCCAGGTGTGTACAACTTGTGTCAGAATTGAGGTCTCTCGATTTCAGACAGTCTGTAGTCATCATCAGTGCTTGTAGTCCCTCTTAGGAGAGAGACTATACCAGAAGCTACTTGCTGTATTTTGGTAGAATTAGATTAGGTTGTAGTGAAAAGAGTATGAAGTTAAGCTTACTTCTTGATGGTCTTTTTGGCAGTGAAGTTTTAAATCCTGAAGAGACCTGAATATTTCTGGAGAAGGAGTATTCTGAATATTATCCAGAATACCCAGGAGTATGGCCACTTGTTTATGAACACTTTCTGTCCCTATCTTTGACCTCTTCCAACATAAAAAGATGACCAAAGTAATTAAGCAGAGGCTAACTGGTGGCATAGAAGGCAAGGAGGGAACAAGCACCATTGAAGTGCCAGGGAATGAGGACCTACAAAAGATAAGCAGATTGAAGAAAGAGATGGATAAAGCAGTCTATATTTTAGTCTTGTCTTTTTTAAACTCACAAAAATTTGTCATAATTCGGTGTGGCTATCTAGCTTATTTTATTTGGAGATCAAGGGAATGTCAGGATTATAATATTAGCTTTAAAAAGCAGAGCTTTTAAGTTTTTATTAGTTTTGACTGTGTGACTGTGTTTTCAGGAAACCATCCTATTGACAGTAGAGTTTCTCTGTCAAATTCTGAAGCCATTATCTTTAAATTTCCTTTTTAAAATGTGCTTCTGGGGCTCTCTTGTCCCCTCCTGGCATGAGCCAGGAGCTCTGTTCTCTCACTGTATCTCCAAATAAAAGCCTTGCCCTGGCCCTTAGCCTTGCTAAGTTCATTCATCGACTCTGCAAACAAGAACCCCAGCATCATCTTTGGGGGCTCATCCAGGATAACTTCGGAGCCTGCTTCTTCAGGCTGCCCTGGCCTCTGAGTGAAGCAGGGGGCATTCCTAACTCTCTCCTAACTTCGTCAGTTTCATGGAACCCGATGCTCACCACCGCAAGAAGCCACAAAACTGCAAATAGTAATAGAAATGGAACCTGAAATAGAAGTGCCCATCTTCCGAGGCCCTCTCAACTGACCACTGACGGAGACCTAACTGCACCCTTTACTGCACCCCTTCTCAGCATGAAGCAGCCAGAGTGGTCATCACCCCCTTTCCCTAGAAGCAGCTAGGCTATCTATTTGTATAGGGGGAAATGAAACAGGGACCTTGGGCTTAGACAGAGTAGGGTGAGGACCGCCAGAAAAAGCAAGGCAAGATATTTACAGTCAAAGCAATGTAATAATGTAGAGTCCCTATTGAAACTCTATGTTCAGCATTATGCAAAGTCAAGGTCACACTAATTCTCTAGGGTAAAGATACTAGACTAGGAATATAGACATGTTCAGTAGGATCAGTTAAAGGTCAAAAGGCCAGAAGCAACTTGGCCTGGACTGTTTGAGTGTTCCGCAAGGGTATCCTAGCATAACCTGTGACTTCACTGTAAACAGCCCTAGCAAACAGACAATAACCCAGCCCACCTTGAGGACAGGGCAGGTGGTACAAGTCCACACCCTAAGCCCTCAATTCCCAAAAATCCTCTACTGCCTATAAATCCCCTAGACAACACACCACCCTGGCCTCTCTTGTCCCGCCAGGAGGTCTATTCTCTCACTGTGTCTCTACAAAAAATAAATAAATAAATAAATAAATAAATGTGCTTCTGTTGTATTTTCATTTTCATTTTCATTAACCAGCTGTGATTCCTGGTTTTGTCCGTGTGTGTGAAAGACAGGGTAATAGCACAGACTAAACTCTTTAGATACTAGTTGAATTTTAACACTTAAGAAAAATTGGTGAGAAAAGGAGTAATCAATTTATTGGAATCCTATAAATTTGTCTTTTCCCAAAAGTGATTGATAAGTGTAGGGAAGATTCTTATTTTTCTAGAGTTTTTATTTCATATGCAAACCCATGTTTACAAGTATCCTAAAGGCTTTGTCTCTTGAGTTTCAGAAATCTTTGTTAAAGTTAAATGAAGGTAGTTTCTTTTTCCAAAAACTCAACAGGCCATGAAAATTTAATAAATGATTTTACTTTCTTCATTTTGAGTTATAAGAATAAATCTTAGAGTCTCTGAATTCTTATTTAAATGGAAGCTTGTAAGAATCTAGGTTTTTGGCCTATTGGAAGGTGTTTTTTTTTCAGTATTAATATATTATTTTCATTTTTAAAATGTATAATGAGATTGAAAAGGTGCACCAAATGGAGTGCCGGTGACATTGCCATATCCTTATATTTATTTCCCAGGTCTAAATCATATGCAGTCTGTTAAGTTCACCCCTTTGAGACATTATTATTTTTCTCCATGTTTTTAGATTAAAGGAACTAGGGATGTTTGGCCCAGAAAAGTGTCAGATTAAGAGGAATATGGAATTGTCTTCAAACAGCTGAAGCATTGTCATCTTGAAAAGGGGATTTGTCTCCTTTTGTGTCCCCGTGGATTGAACCTATGTGTGGAATTTTTAGGGAGACTGATTTCAGTTCTGTTTAAGTAAGAACTATCCTACCACTCAGATCTGCTCAGAGAGGGAGTCAGCTGTCTGGAAGAGAGTGCAGGGGTCCATATAAGTTTTAAAATATGGGTTGGAAAATCTCTTGGGTGTGTGTAGTGGATTCAGATTCTGGGTAGAGAATCATGTTGTAAGTGGGCTATAAGGACCTGTCCCATTCTGAGTTACTTACTAGGAAATAAGGAAATAATCAGACAGTCAATACAGGGTGAGAAAGGAGAGCTACAGCTGATAGAAAGGGAGACATCAATGGTTCAGTACATCTCTCCTACCCATTAGAGTACTACATAGTTGACATTTTCTCTACCAGGGACATTGATGAAAATGTTGGATCTTGTTCCGTAAGAGGTCATTCTGCGGAATTGAGGAATTTTTGGCATGGTCACAGAGCCTGAACAGTTCTGTTTCTTTTATTGTCTGGGGACGTGGTGTGATGCTAAATCAGAGTGTCCAGGTTGTGGGTTTAGGTAGGAGCAACAGCTTGTCAACTGATTGGGTTTCCTTTCTATTACATTTCACAATTCTCTCTTACTGTTGTTACATTGAACTGCACTTCAGCAACAGTAGGATTTAGGGCTGAAAATCCTTTCTTGTTTAGAATGTTTGGATTTATTTTCTCAGTTTCTATTTTTGTCTTTATTAAAGAAAAATGTTTCATGAACATTCTCAGCACTGGAATTTGATAAAGGAAGAAAGCTGAAATTGACTGTCTTTTTTTTCAACCAGGATCCCTAGTTTCTGGGAAGGGATATGGTAAAGTGGGTAAGAGTATGAATTTTTTATGTCATACCTGGATTTGATTCTCAGTTCTACCATTCATCGCCTTTCTCACTTTAGACAAGTGGCCTGAGTTCCATGGGTCTCCATTTGTAAAGAGATAATGTTCCTCCTAGGTTCAACATGGGTATAAATGAGATAACATTCATAAAAAGTATTTAGTACTTGGTAAGAGCTCAGTAAATGGTAGGTACTTCATTTTTGTGCTAGTGGTAGAGACTTACTTTAGTTAACAGGGGTCATCTTGGATGGACATTGAGTTGATGTGCTAGGAGTGCAGAGTATGTGCTTCCTTGTTAGGGTGTAATTCTGCAAATAATACATAACATGTCTGAGTGGAGGATTAATTCTACAGTTCTTCAAAAGGAAAGAAATCAACCAAGTAAAGCAGAAAGGTTTAAAGGAGTAATACAGACTCCTCAATCTTTATTTCCTTCTCCTGTCCTTTTTGAAGAGTGGTTTCAGGTGGAAGTATGTAGATTTGGGATTTGGGATCTTCTGCATCAAGATATGCATCAAGTGGTTGCGGTCATTGTGAAGTGAGAAAAGAGAAGGATTGAAGAATCTTAAGTGGCACAGATAGGGAGTTCACAGGGAGGAAGTTAAGGAAAATGATGGAGGAGTTGTCAGTTTAGTATAGTGGAGGGCACATTGAACCTGAACTTGGCACATCTGGGTTCTTTTAGTCTCGCTTTAACCATTAATGGTTATGTTCCTCTAGGCATATCACTTCCCTGTTGAACAGACTAGACTTGATCTCTAAGGCTCCTTGAATACCTGAGTTTCTCTATTCAAAATCAAATGGAAATAAGAACAGGTGAATTGAGGTAATGTAATGTCCCTGAAAACAGGAATTTCAAGAAGAAACAATGTCAGATGTCAAGAAATGAAGGAGGATGAGAACTGGGAAAAAAGATAGGGTGCCCAGGAGGCCAGTTGGTTTAGATCAGAGGGACAGAGAATACCTGCATGTGAGATTCCTGTGGAACAGCATATAGCAGGAATCATTCCAAGTCCTCTCAACTGACTTTGTAGATAACATAGATGTTCATGACACTACTGATACATTAGAAAAAATGTCATGTGCTTTCATCATTGGCCTATAAATTAAACATTGAGAATTTCTTCAATTCAAGGTTGAAGGGACTTTTGAGGTAGTCCAATGCTGGGTAAGACAGCTAAATCTTGTTTCTCTTTAGAATTTTAATTGCAGTTCTCACTTGAAGTATTTTATTTGTTTTTGTAGACAGATTGTTTCATAATGGATGGAGGTGATGAAGGTAACCTTGTTATCAAAAAGAGGTTTGTGTCTGAGGCAGAACTAGATGAACGACGCAAAAGGAGGCAAGAAGAATGGGAGAAAGTTCGAAAACCTGAAGATCCAGAAGGTATATAAGTTTATAGTTTGGCATTCAACACAATGAATGATCTTTAATCCTCACAATAGCCCCGCAAAGTAGGTATTAATGTCCTCACTTCAGAGTGTAGGACCAGAGGCTCAGAGGGAGGGTTCAAGGATCCTACATAAGGCCTCCATGGCCAGGAGTAGAAACTGACCCTTGCCCTTCCCACTCTTCTAGGAGATTCTGTTAGTCTGTTTCATCTGTACAGGGAGATCAAGATCTGAACAGTTGAGAATGCTGCAGCTGTGTTTGGACTGGCCCCTCATCCCATTAACTGTCTCAGACTGTGGGCCCTATTACCATTGATAGTTGGTTTTGAGAACTGCTGGCCCCTCTCTGAAGTCCAAAAGGAAAAACTGGAATTTGTACTATTTTTGTTAACCATGTGGAGACTTGACTTTATTTTTAAAATCCTTTGTGATTCCAAAATAATATGAAAGAATTCTAAAGTATTAATCTTGTTTCCCCCTCCCTTTCTCTCTCCCTTTTCTCCTCACTTCCTCTTCCTTTCAGAATGTCCAGAGGAGGTTTATGACCCTCGGTCTCTATTTGAAAGGCTACAGGAGCAGAAAGACAGGAAGCAGCAGGAGTATGAGGAGCAGTTCAGATTCAGTAAGCTTCAGAACAGTCCAAAGGACTCAGCAGGGGCCTTTTGATGCACTTTTGCCTCATGTAACACTTTTTCTAACTAGCCATGGAATTGTCTTGATTATCTAGTCTCTAGATGCCCATCTTGAAGAAAAAAGACAGCTTTCTGCCTTTTAGACCACAGTGAACATTTTTGTTTAAAGCTCAAGATACCCATTTAAATTTTATTCTAATATCTAGTAATGGGAAAAATGCCTTGATTTTGTGCCATGTTATCTACCCAAAAGCCATGGTGTTTACAAATTCTTTCTTCTAATCCCCTGAAGAAAAAGGAAAAACCTTATTTGACTGTATTTTCCCTTTAGCCTGCTAAGCGTTCTTTGTTTAATTATTTCCTCAGAAAACATGGTAAGAGGCTTAGATGAAGATGAGACCAATTTCCTTGATGAGGTTTCCCGGCAGCAGGAACTAATAGAAAAGCAGCGAAGAGAAGAAGAAATGAAAGAACTGAAGGAATACAGGATATCCTTTGTATTTTGAGAGAAATCTGTAAGGTGTCAGTTTTCTCATCACATCTGTGGATTTTAGTTTTTCATAAATAGAATGAGGGTATTCTACCTGGTGATCTCTAAGTTCCTTTCAACCCTGATATTCCTCTGAGTCTGAATAACTGACAATGATTATGGAGTTATGTTGTGCAAGAGTCTGTTGCAATCCAAAGTCGAGATCCTTTAGTTTTAACTACAGGCCTGAGTCCTAATAGTCATTACCAGGGTATTCTTGCTTTGTGGGATTAGACTGTTTAACAGATGAGTGATGCAGTAAACCTCATCCAGGGGTGAAGCTGGCTTCTAAGTTTTAAAAGCAAACGTTTAGCAACTCTCCTTTGTTCTTAAGTAAGACCTTCTTTATAGATACAAACTGGTCTATCCCCATAGAGTGGTAGAGAAAGCAACAAAGTTGATTTTTTCTTGGCTCAATACTGCTTTTTTGGCAGCCACTTGAATGTCTTAATAGGCATCCCAAATGTAACTTGGCCAAATCAGAATTCTCCATCTCATGCGTCACTACCCTACTCCTCTTCACACTGCCCTCCCCAACAGATCTCTTCTTTCTTTGGTCACCCCAGTCTCAATAATGGTATTCCTTTATTGGTTTCCTCAGTGCCTCCAGATAGGTTCTTAATATATATGTGAATAAATTAATGGATGGCTCAAAGGAGAAGTTAATAAAGCCACTTGAGTTTTTTTCCTCCTACAAGAAAGCTTATTTGGTTATTTCAGGCTTATATGCTGAACTGCCTCATTGTGTGATTGAACAGGCTTTACCTCTAAGATTGGTATTAGTACTCTGCTGCATGCGTGTGCAAGGTGGCATTTTTTTGCAGGGAGTGTGGTGTAGTTTCCATTAAAGAGTTACATAGGAGAAAACGTGGACAGTTCCCAGGAATTTGGTTTAAATCAAGGTGACTGATGGTAATTGAGATAAGGTGGCAGCATGGTGCTACAAAACCTGCCAAAGACCTGGCTTCAGTTCCAGAAATTAGGAGTTGCTGGAAAGTCACACTTCTGCCCCAACTGTAGAACTGAGACGATTCTTGTGAAATTTCACTCCCTGACTCTCATCCCAGGTGACCCCAGAGTAATACACAGCAATGTGTGCAGAGATGGGCAGATAATATGTATTGCATTATTTTAAGCACAAGGCTTTTTCCTCTAAGGAAATACATTAATTACACTTCTTATTTGAATTATGTCTTGTTTTAAATGCTTAATTTGGCAGGCAAGCAAATAAGAGTGTCTCCCAAAGCAGCTTCCTGGAGAGTAGTGTTGGTGTGGTAGGAGTGTGAGAGGCCCTTCCGTTTTCAACTCGAAGGGAAGAATGAACAGGGCAGCAGTGAGGCAGAAGAAATGTTTTGTTCTGGTAACATTACAGTGCAACACTGAAGACGCTCCAGGGGTATTGGCCTTTCTTGGAAATGTATAAGTTCTGTCTAGAAAAACTGAAGAAAAAAGCAAGCTTTCCAACCTGCTGATGTATGATGCACCCACCAGTCCCAAGCATGCATGTAGCCAGAGATGCACAGAGATAGGTACTGAAGGATTAGACCTTTGTTTATTGAAGCTCCAAACCAGAAGCTGGTTCATGGCTTTATTTGATTGTTATATATGATAAACATTTTATAATGTGATACTTGTGAATATAAATAAGCCTGGATTTGTGCCATTTAAATAATAGCGCTCTTGTTTCCTTCAGGTTAGATCAGTTTTTAGCAATATTATGTGGGTTAAAATGTGATTTTAAAAAAATGCCCCATTTGATGAATTCCTTGAAGTTTTGGAGGTGTGTTTGTGTATTTAAAGCATTTTTACAGGGAGAGGGATTTAAGGGGGGAATTGCTTATACTTTGGTTATGGATCAAAAAGAATAATATTACCACCCCATCCCTCCAAAAAAGGAAAAGGTTGGGGGCTTTTCTTCAGTTTAAAAGAAATAAAAAGTTAAGTGTTGGCTTTTGTCTGTGCCCTGGTAAAAATATACGTGTGCTTTTGTTGTGTAAGTTTTTCCATTTTTGTTTTATTTTTCAGTATTTAATATTAATTTTCTTTAAGAAATTCTATCCATAATGGGGTTGCAGGTAAAAATGGAAACATTTATGGTTTTTGGCATTCTGTACTTGAAAGATGACATCGCTGCTTATTTCATTTTTATTCTAAAAAAATGCACATATTACTGGTTTCCATGATGACCTTAAAAACATTAAGTTGTTGAAACTCAAGAGTAGTATTGAGCATTATGCACAGTCCCCACTGAATATTGCGAATATTTAAGGTAACTCGTGCCCATAAGAACAGAATTAGTGCCTGAAGAGTGATCAGAATTAGAATTTCCTTATTTCTGGTACCCAGTTTTCTCCATTGTTCAAAGCACAGAAATGAATAGCTTAGACAATGTGTCCCCACCCCCACCCTTTGGGCCAGTAATACATGCTGCTTAGATTTCTTGGGCACTAGATGTCACTGTTGTTCCACTGTGGGACTACTGCATCTTAAATAAGGAATTGCACACGTCCAAACACCTATTACCTGTCTGTCATGGGAGAGGGCATGATGCCTAAGGAGGGGAGGGGGCTGGAGTAGTGAACCAAAGAAAGTGACAAACCTCAAGAGGCCAGAGATGGACATCAAGCAAGAAAAAATTATGTTACAGGTTATCCTTTTGAAAACTTTTTGGTTCCTGTGTTGTATATGCATGAGAGTTTCTCATTAGAATCGCCTTGAAAGAATGTTTAAAACAGGTTCCTAGGTCACTGGAGGTCCTCATTTCTGTAGTTTGGGACAGGGGAGGGACTCTGTTTTTTAATGAGACTTAATGTGGTTCTGATGTTTTGCCCCAGCAGAGTAAAAGTTAGTCATCATGTTTAAGATTGAATGCCACTAATAGTCATAGGACACTGCTAAATTTACCCTTAGGTGGGAAAACACAAATATTTTTATATTTTCAAGGAAACCACTTTTTTTTGTCTGTTGCATTTTTTCCTTCAGATCTTTGTTTTCCCCAGCAAGCATGATATTGGCCTTATCTTTGGTCATAGGCTTTCTAGCCATACTCAGATTTTCACTGAGAATCAGAAGGAAAAAGTTTGCTTCTCTGTATTATTTTTGACTTGATTTGCCATCTTCCTCCATGTCACCTTCATTTCTCTTTAAATCAGCTGCATTTGACTATCAGAATAAAGAGGAGAGGGCATTTCTTAAGTAAGTAGGCCAAACATTATATGGCAGAGCTGAAGTGCTAGTGGATTGTATTTGTCTTCCTCCTGACTATTTTCCTGCTGTAGCTTTTTAAATTTAGTTTGAAACTCTTAACCTGTAACTCACAGTAATCTCAACAAGGTTGGACTTTCTTCAGAAAACAAGAAGGAAGTAGAAAAGAAAGTGGCTGTGAAACCTGTAGAAACCAAGAACAAGTTCTCCCAGGCCAAGCTGTTGGCAGGAGCTGTGAAGCATAAGAGGTCAGTCAGCGCTCACTCAATTTAAATCTCCCTCTGATCATGTACTCTGAAGTGCCACTTGCAATTGCAGCCAGAGCGAAAGGTTACCTAAGGATGTCTTGGTAAAGTTCCTTTGGTACCCTTACCACTGTCACCTTCCACCTGTGATGTCTTCTGTAGCCTTTGACCCTTGTCTCTCGGGTAGTCCATTCATCATAATAGCTGCTCTTCACTGGGCACCTGTCATTTTCTATGCATTGTGTTACATGCTTTCCATGCATGATCTCATTTATTCCTCTCAACAAGTCTATGAAATACAAGTTATTATAATCCCTGTTTTACAGATGAAGATACCAAGAATTTGGGGGGTTGAGAATCTTTATCCAAGGTCACAAGGTAATAGGAGAGGTAGGGTTCAATATTTGAGCCTCTGTGTTTTAGTCAAATGAGGTGGCAAGTCCTGTGGCAGGATTTGTAATAAGAGCGGGGAGAAGGAAACACATAACTCAGCCTGGGAGTGTTGGGGGGTGGTAATGCATGTTCTCTTGGGAAAGCTGGGGGGATTAGAAGGAAGAATGTTGATTAGGGTGGACCACTCGGGCTTGGACAGGCAGACAGAGAAGAGAACATCCCAGGCAGGGGAACTACTGCAAAGGCATCGTGGCCTATGTGAATGAACCTGGCAGCTGTGACAGGGTTCCAGACCTGGGTGGGGCTCTGCTTGATTGACGTGGGGTGGCAGCACTGACTAAGAGGTTTTGAGAAGTTCTTTGTTATGTTTGCTCCTCCCTTTCCCACTCCTGAAATGGCACCAAAGTGATTAAATCTGGTCATTTCAATTTGACCAACTGCACCGTGGGCAAAATGGTGTTAAGTTTAAGTGCAGTCTATTAGGAAAATCAATGTGGTATATTGGCCACCAGCCACGTTTTGAAGGGAGTACATCGATGCAGTCCTGTGGCTTGGCTTACCATCCATCTTACACAGATGTGTCTAGGAACATTTCTTACATGGGAAAATGCAGTCATGGTATAGCAGCAGAGGGGAGGAGTATCAGAAGCCTAAAAAGGGCCAGATAACCTGAGCCATGAATTGTTCCTTTCAGGTTTTCAACATAAGCTTTCATACCTGGCCCAGTGTCTTTCAGTATTTAGACCTGGGTCAGTTTTACTGCTCTGTGCCAGGAAAGGGCTGTCTAGGTGGGCAGTTAGTTACCTCTCAGCCACGTCTTACTGCTGGCAGAATGGATGTTATAACTATCTCCCCTGCTTAGCTCTTAAATCACTTTTTATTAGATCATCATTTATTGTTGTTCTGTGTAGCAAGGTGATAAATTAGTCTCCTTGGGCAGGAGTTTCCTAATCTACCGAGCCCTGATTTATTTAGAATCATCTGGGAGTTTGATAATACTGTGGATTCCAGGCCTTACACTAATTCTGGTTCAGTAAGTTTGGAATGAGATCTACGAGTCTTAATTGTTAAAGCTCCATGGATGATTTTGATGCTTGGTGTGTGTGTTATGAAGCATAATAATAAAACAAGCACCCATGAACCTACCACCCTAACTTAAGACCTAGAACATTATCAACAATATTGAGTCTGCCTCTATGCTCCTCTCCATTCCATCCTCATACTATTTCCCCAAGTTTGGTTTATCACTCTTACACCTTTTGTTACTTTTAGGAAAAGCTTTGTAAAGTTAAAGTTTTTTGTATGTGTTTTTCTTTACATTTTTGGTAAAAGTTTCTTTTTTGCTACTTACATAGGTATCCATAAACAATATGATGGCTTGCTTGTTTTTGAACTTCATAAAAATAATTGCATTATATATACAGCCGTCTGTGAATTTGGTTTCTTGCTCAAATTGTTTCCGTGATTGAAACAGTTTTTTGTGTGTGCCTGTGTGTACAGTTATAACTCATTCATTTTCATTGCTATATAATAATGTGTTATATGAGTTACCAAATTTGTCCATTCTCCTATGGATGAATGTTTGCATATGACAGATGGTTGCTCATAGGTCAAGGACATGCTTTGTTACATATGTCCATATGTGTCTTTTGAGTTGTGCTATCCAATATGGTAGTCCTGGATACTGTGGCAGTCTAATTGAAATAAATTAAATTTAATTAATTAAGATTAATTGAGATTTAAAATCCGGTTCCTTAGCCATAGTAGTCACATTTCATGTGTCAAATAACTACATTTGGCTAGTTGCTGCCCTACTGGACAGGTATGGTATAGCAATTTTATAAAATAGTATCTCCTTGTGGTTTTAATTTGCCTTTTCCTGTTAATGAATGTAGTTGACATTTCATATGTTAATTTGCCGTTAATGTATTCTACTATGTAAAAGCACTATTCATTTATTTTGCCATTTTCTGTTATTTGTATTTTTATTATTGATTCATAAGTTTAAAAAAAATAATAGTCCTGATACTATTTTTCCCCAGTTTATAGCTTATCTTTTTACTTTAATTAATTAATTTTAAGGTGGTCAATTTTTTAAAACAGATATTATTGACATAGGCTAGTTTTAGGTATGCAACATAATGAATTGATAGATGTAAATATTGTGAAATGGTCACCACAGTAAGTTTAGTTAGCATCCGTCACCACACATAGTTACAATTTTCTTGAGGTGAGAAAGTCTGAGATCTACTCTCTTAGCAACTTTCAGATATACAGTTCAGTATTATTAACTATAGTTACTATGTTGCACATTACATCCCAGGACTTAACCTATTTTATAACAAGACGTTTTGAAGGTAGTCAATTTTAAAGTGGTCAAATAGGTCAATACTTTCTTTTATGGTTACAGTATTTTATATTTTGTTTAAGAAATTCTTCCTATCCTGAGATCACAAGATAGTTTTTCTTCTAGAACTTTTAGTTTTGTTTTTCAACTGTTAGTCCTTTATCTATCTGGAATTGATTTTCATGAAGGGTATGATTTGTAGGAATCCATTTGAACTTTTTCTTCAAATGAAAAGCCAATTTTCTAGCAACATTTACTAAATATTTCTGCTTTTCTCCACTGATCTTCAGTGTCACCTCTGTCTTACAAGTTCCTATATACAGGTTTGTTTGGGGGTTCTTTTTTCCGTTCCTTGAATCTGCTGGACCAGTACCACCCTATATAATTATTGTAAGTTTGTAATAAATTGTGGTATCTGATAGGGCAGATCCCTTACATTCTTCTCAGGTGTGCCTTGCCTATTTTTGGCCACTTTGTTCTTCCATATAAATTCTAGATTTAGTTTATGTTCTTTAAAAGTCTTTATTGGGATTTTTATTGGA